CCATAATCATCCACTAATAATACATTCATCACATAAATGTATGTATATATATAATATCTAATATTATATCCTAACATGTTTCAAGTTTCTAGCAATTAAGATAGTCTAAACTCTTTTAGACTTATGGATCGAAACAATTAAATAATTGATTAATCAAATTAATAAATTATTTAATTAGCGGTCATGTTTGATTAAAATCAAATTTTAATTAAATACCGAATTAAAGATCAACTCTAATTCAACAATTATAGGGCAGGATAATTTAATTAAAATCAAATTTTAATTAAATATAAAATTAGAGTCAAACTCTGATTTCAAAATTTAAGGCGATTGAATTTAATTAAAATTAATTTTTAATTAAATAACAAAATTGGAGTCCAACTCTAATTCCGAGATCTTAGGGCAAAAATATTTAATTAAAATCAAATTTTAATTAAACAAAAATTAGAGTCTAACTCTAATCATAAATAAAATTTTAGGGCAACAATTTTATTAAAATCAAATTTTAATTAAACGTTAAATTAGAATCCAATTCTAATTTCTAAAATATCTTCGGATGAAAAATTAATTAAAACCGAATTTTAATTAAGTCCTAAATTAGAGTCAAACTTTAATTTAAATTGAATCAATATTTTAAACTAGGATAACACTCCTAAATAAAATAAAATTCAATTGGAGTAAAAGTTTAATATTTAAGTTATAATCCAATTTTAACGAGAATATAAAATGTCGTCAATTTTTAAATAAGATTTTAAACGGGTCAAAATTTAAATATTAGGTTAAACCCATTTAAGATATAATTTTAAAACTATTTTAAAGTTCAAATTTAAAATCAATTTTCAATTTGCAAATAGACCCAAAATTGAAATTAAAAGGTAGTCCTTCAATTACTTTAATTGCATGAGCCCTCCATTTAAAATTGCATATTAACCCCATATTCCATAATTGCAGCCAGGGGCCCACAATTTTTGAAATTGCAACTCATACCCCCATCTCCAACCTCCCACCCTTTTTTTTGAAATTTTGAAAAACCCTAAAAAAAAATTTATTATTATTATTTCTAAGGTGCCGCCCCATTGGAAGGCAAGACCCGCTGCCAATCAGCAGCGCGAAGGCGCTTCAAGGCGCTGCAGAAGCAGCGGCTGTACGCCTGATGTTGTTGCAGGCGGGCAGAACGCTACTCTCGCCAGCGATGAAGCATGCTGCCGATCCAATTTTTTTTTTTTCGAATCAGATTTCAAAAATATAAAATTAAATTTCCACTTAATTGCTAGAAATAAGAAAAATAATCACAATCAACGTTTGATTGTTCAATCACACAAATCAACTTCTAACAAACATAAAGGAGGCTCTGGTACCACTGTTGGGAATCTACTTATACATGCACAGCAAAAAATTAAAATTATTTCGATTCCCGCCAAGGATCCCTTTGTGTTTAGATAGAAATCGTGATAAGATTGTACCTTTTCAGATCTGTAAACTTCTTTGCTATTCTTTTCGTTCCAGCAATCTTGATTCGCCACCCACAACTGTCTAATTGTCCAGTCTCCAACTGTGATCCACACAGAGAATAAGATTGTAGCTGCCATAATTTTTTTCCTCTTGTATTAGCAAGAATAATTATGAGAAAAATCATATGAATTGAAAACCCTAGCAATGTATTTATATAAGCCCAAAAGGGCCTAGCCCGGTCTAGTCCGATCCAATATTTAATTAATTCTTTTATTTAAATCCGGTCCGTGAATTAATTAATTCAATTAATTAATTTGAACCTATAAATAACCAACCTAATTAATTAATTTATCTAACGATTGTTAAATTAATTAATTGACAAGTTGCAATCTTCCAATTCTCTTTTGTGTACGGCCCATCAGGTTCTCGATTACGATGCCTAACGACGTGAAATATTATTTTGATCTAATCAAAATTGATAAATTAAAATACCATTTTAATTTATCATCAATTCACACTTGTCCTCCCAGATTGACATCTAGCAATGTGTTAGGGCAATACATGTAACGGGAAATGTCACGTGGTATGACAAAACCAAATTTGTTCGTTTACTGTGAAACTATAATCCCTTCGTCAATATGATCCGATCAATTACGAGATATGTAAGTGTGTTAATCTCGATTAACGATCATACCTTTCACTCCACTATCAAGTCAATATAAGTCGAAAACTCTTTTTCAATTTATGAGTACACCTTGGCTAATGATTTCATCATCGACTTAATTGAATAAAACGAAAATCATAATCTCCTACTATCTAAGAGTGACGAATCCTTTATTGATCAATCACAACCTTTATACAATTCTTAACGTACCCGAACGATGTCGTATTAGCGGTCCTTTGTAGAGCAACATCCAACACCACTAAAGTATGACCGTCCTCATATAAGGTACCATGACGACCTCAAGTCAAATGACCAATTCCACTACCGAACTTTAGAGATTAACCACTGATACTCAGATAGTTATCCATGTGGAATCTCTCGACGAGTCTCCAATGTTTTGTTCTATAACAAAATATCCACGTGTTCATTTAAGTGTCATAACATTTTAGCTTATGAGATCAGCTACTAACCTCACAGGTAAGAAATACCACACGCGATGGTCTATCAGTAATAATGATATCAGTATCTCGTTATTACTTACGACCACGAACGATTTAAGATTCAATCAGATGTAATTTGTATCTCACAATCACAACTCCTTGTGATTAACAAATTACGAAGATTTGAATCTACGGACTCTATTATTTATCTAATTGTCTATTAATTAAATAATAGATCTGTCATTAAATTGCATTAATTATATATCAAAAGTATTTATATCCAAAGTTGATTGGACTTAGAGCATAATATTTACACTATATTGTGGTTTTATTGTTATTACATCTGAGCATTTTTTTTTTACCATCAAATGGTTTGTTTTAAGTTTTTGTTTTCGAAACTGTATTAAGTGGTTTCCTTTGAAAATTTATTTAAAAAAATAAAATAAAATCCAAACTGAATACTTTTTAGAGTACAATGGATACAAGTGAAATTTTTAATACGATTTATTGTTTGTAGCCTAAGGAAAATTAATGATTGGTTGGATAATGAGTTAGCATCCTATGTCAAAATTTGGACCTATGTGGTTCAATTATTTCCTCTTCCATTCAATAAAAAACAAACCATTTACATTTGCGGATCAAAAAATCCTTTATATATATATGGTAGGGGTTTATCAAGTGAGGTTGTATTTGTAGGGTTCGACTTTGTCGAAAATATCAAAAATACTAACTGATGGTGACATTTTCCAATATCCCCCGATCAGTATATCCCGAGAACTATTTTTGATAAAGTTGTAATTCCATCTGCGGTGTCCTCGAGCATGTACATCCTCGAGACACTATGCCCGACCACATCTCCATGCTGCTTCGCATATTGCAAATATATGTCCTCGGGCATAGTCCTCGGGAATGTGCTCCCCCTCACAACTGACGATGGTTGACCCTTTAGAATTCCTACGCAATTAGGAATCTTAGCTCCCACAAGAATCCTAGCTCACATATAATTCTGGAATTCAACCAACTCCTTAACTACTCAGAACTCCAACAGATGAGGACATCCAACTAGTTGAGTCCAATTAGGAGAACGTCGCTTACTACTATAAATACAGAACCTTGAACCATTATTCAGGTACGTTTTACATTGTTCTTCAGCACATAGCCTCACGCATATATTTCCCATTCTGACTTAAGCATCGGAGGGGCGACGAGAACACACCTCGTTGCCTTTGTTTCAGGTATCGGAAGATCACGTTCGTGCTCCACATCTGTCATCAAGCTCAGGAAATCTACAGGTACGACTTTTGGTAGCATCATTGGCGCCGTCTGTGCGAAGCGCTACCAAAAGCCATGGTAAACACACGATCAGGTCTTCCACCAGCAAGCTCATCCGCTCCAAACCAACCCCCTCCTGAGGATATCCCTGCTCCTCAAGAGGAATCATCAGAAGTGCCGGAGGCCCAGCCGGCAGTCGTCACTACTGGAGCCTTTGAAGAGCTCAGACAACAGGTCGCCGCACTGACTCAGCTGCTAAGTCAAAGAAATTCGCATCCGTCACCCACACCGGCACCCCTGGGGGGTTTTATGGCTGATGCTCGAGCTCGAGCACATGTCCCTGACAATGGCGGAGCAGGGGCCTCGGGTATACCACATGTGACCTCGGCCTCGAGATTAGTGACCATGTAGTCCGGGGAACTCGCTAGGATTATTCAAGAAGGAATTGCGGCGGGCCTACTTCAAGGCAACAAAGGGACGACAAGATTCAGTCCCAACACTCCATTTACTCCCGAGATATTAACATTCCCCTTGCCAGACAGATTTAAATATCCTAGGATCAAAGAATATGATGGGACCACCGATCCAATCAATCATCTGAACATATACACGGACGTCATGAATCTGCAGGTTGCACCAGATCAGGTGATGTGCAAGGCCTTCCCGCAAACTTTGACGAATGCTGCTAGGGATTGGTTCTCAACCTTAGAGTCCAACTCCATAGCCTCATTCTCGAATTTGGCGGACAAGTTCTCCGCTTTCTTCGCAAGCAGCAAACGCATCAGGAAGACAGCAGCTTCCCTCATGCAACTTAGACAAGGGCAAAATGAGACCCTACGTGACTTCATGACCAGGCTCAACAAGGAAAGACTTCAGATTCCCGACCTACACATGACTGCAGCAGTTTCTGCCCTCACATATGCCATAAAGTGCGAGGCTTTCAAGATGTCTTTATCCAAAACTCCGTCGAAGACAGTCACCGAGCTTCTTACCCGAGCCAAGAAGTACATAAATATGGAGGGAACACTGAACCCGAGAAAGGTTGGACCACCCCATGACAGGGTCGAGCATAAAAGACAGCATGACCCGAACCCCTGTGAAGAACAACATCGGAAAAAATAGACCCCCCGACGCCGTTCACGCGTTTACATACGTCAAAGACCAATATATTGATGGAGATCAAGGATATGAAGGAACTGAAATGGCCTGTCAGAATGAGGTCACCACCCGAATCCAGGGACATGAACAAGTACTGTGAGTTCCATCGGGATCATGGGCATACCACGGAGAACTGTAAGGCCCTGCAACGGGAGATTGAAGCCCTTATTAAAAGAGGACTCTTGAGTTCCTACGTCGGTAACGACAAGCGTCCGAGGAATGATCGTGGCAGGGAAAAAGACCCTGAGGGAAAAAGTGATGGTCAACCCACTGCTGGAACCATCAATATCATCATTGGAAGTATTGCCTCGGGAGGAGACTCCAACAGTGGAAGAAAACAATATGCCCGACGATATGCCTTGGCCTCTGGGATGCCCCATGGAAAGCTGGAGGATATTACTTTTGGGACCGGAGACTTAGAAGGCGTATCACTCCCACATGATGACGCCTTGGTAATCTCAGCAATTTTGGCCAATTTTGAAGTAAAGAAGATCTTGGTTGATAACGGGAATGCGGCCAATATACTTTCACAAGAAGCTTTTGCCAAAATGGGAATCTCGTCTCACCAGCTCAAAGCGGTTAAAACTCCTCTCCAGGGGTTTGGTGGAGGAGTCATCACTCCAGAGGGTGTCGTCGAGCTTTCACTAACTTTGGGTTCTGGCCAAAAATAGGTTACGGAGATGACATCTTTTCAAGTGGTACGTGTCTCAATGGCCTATAATGTGATTCTGGGAAGACCACTCCTGAACAAGATTAAAGTCATTGTGTCCACCTTCCACCTAGCCATGAAGTTTCCAACAAGTAATGGCGTTGGGGTCGTCCGTGGAGACCAGATAGCTGCCAGACAATGCTATGTTGCCAGCGTTCGGGAAATAAATAGCGACGTCATGCAAATCTCGAGGATGAATCCCGAGGATGGGCAACAAGTCAGACTTGCTCCTGTCGAAGAATTGATGGAAATTGAGCTCGAGCACAATAAGAAGGTGACAATTGGTCGGGATCTTGACGTCACCCTGAAGACAGAACTTGTTGGTTGCTTATCTCGCAACATTGATGTTTTTGCTTGGAAAGTTGAGGATATGTCAGGGATAGACCCTAAAATTGCAGTCCACAGGCTTAACATTAGCCCAGGGGCCAGGCCAGTAAAGCAGAGGAAAAGACAGTTTGCCCCAGAACGTCGGGAAGTCATCCGCGAAGAAATTAACAAACTCGTCAGTGCTCGATTCATTCGGGAGGTCCAATATCCTGATTGGCTTGCCAATGTTGTTTTAGTGAAGAAGGCCAATGGTAGGTGGAGAGTTTGCATTGACTTCACAGATCTTAATAAAGTATGTCCAAAGGATAGTTATCCCCTACCGCGGATTGACAACTTGGTGGATATCATGTCTGGACATAAGCTATACAGCTTCTTGGATGCATTTTCTGGTTACCATCAAATCCTCATGGCCGACGAAGATCAAGAGAAGACCTCATTCATGGCCGATTCCGCCATATACTGTTATAAGGTCATGCCTTTCGGTTTGAAGAATGCAGGGGCAACATACCAAAGGCTCATCAACAAAGTCTTTGCTAACTTGATTGGAAGGAACGTAGAGGCGTACGTTGATGACATGGTGGTCAAGAGCAAACAGGTGGACCAACATATTTCAGATCTTGAAGAAGTGTTCAACACCTTGCGAAAGTACGGAATGAAGTTGAACCCCGCAAAATGTGCATTTGGCATGGCCTCGGGCAAGTTCTTGGGCTTCATGATCACTCACCGGGGGATAGAGGCCAACCCTGACAAAATACAAGCATTAGTGTCTATGGAATCACCAAGGAACAAGAAAGAGGTACAGAGGTTGACTGGTAGGATAGCAGCCTTGAACAAGTTCATGTCCCGAGCATCAGACAGGTGCTATCCCTTCTTCAAAGTCCTCAGAGGAAACCAAGGCTTTGATTGGAGTGAAGACTGTGAGAAAGCTTTTCAGGAGCTCAAACAGACATTAGCATCTCCTCCAATTCTAACGAAGCCTGAGCCTGGTGACACCTTATTTTTGTACCTGGCCGTATCTCAAAATACGGTCAGCGGGGTCTTGGTGAAAGAGGTTAATAAAGTCCAACAACCGATCTACTATGTAAGCAAGGTCCTATTAGATGCGGAAACAAGGTATACTTTGGCGGAACAACTTGCCTTTGCCTTGGTTATAGCAGCACGGAAACTGCGGCAGTACTTTCAGTCTCACCCTATTGTGGTGCTCACTAATCAACCACTTAGGCACATACTTCAGAAGCCGGACGTATCAGGAAGACTGATGAAATGGGCAATCGAGCTTGGAGAATTTGACATAGAATTCAAACCACGCCCATCTATCAAAGCCCAAGCTCTAGCCGACTTCATTGCAGAACTAACCCCTAGGCCTCGGGGGCCAGGTGACAGCTCGAGCATGAGCACTAATTTGGACACTTGGCAAATTTTTGTGGATGGAGCATCGAACTCCTCGGGCTCGGGCGCAGGGGTCATCATCATCAGCCCTGACAAACAAACAGAGATCTAATGCGCTCTCAGGTTCGAGTTTGAAGTAACTAACAACGAGGCCGAGTATGAGGCCGTCGTTATTGCTCTTGAGCTAGCCCTTTGCCGAGCTCGAGTTCGTAAAGATATTCAGCAATTCATAGCTAGTGGTCGGACAAATTGAAGGATCATTTGAAAGAAAGGAGGAGAAAATGAGTTTGTACTGTATGAAGGTTCAGGATCTTCAACGAAAATTCAAGAGCTGTGAAATTACAAAAATTACTCGAAAGGACAACAGAAAAGCCGACGCACTATCCAGGCTTGTGTTCATGGGGGTAGACGGCCTTGACAGAACGGTTCACATTAAAATCATCACAGAACCCAGCATCAGTCAAATCCTCGACATCATGGACATTGACAATGAACCATCCTGGATGGACCCGATCATAGAATTCATCACAAACGGAAATCTACCAAGCGATGCCAGGTTGGCCAGAAGCATCAGAGCCCGAGCTCCTAGGTACTGCATGATCAGCGGTGTCCTTTTTCGCAGAAGTATTACTCTTCCGTACCTAAGGTGTCTCAGGCCATCAGAATCATCCCAGGCCCTTGCTGAAGTTCATGAAGGTGTGTGCGGGAATCATCAAGGAGCCAAGGCCTTGGCCTTTAAACTCGTACGATATGGATACTACTGGCCAACTATGAAAAAAGACGCCTCAGAATATGTTAAAAATTGTGATAAGTGCCAAAGGTTTAGTAATGTTATCCACTCACCAGCCGAAGACCTCACCAACATTAACTATTCAACCCCGTTTGAACAATGGGGAGTTGACATCCTCGGCCCCTTTCCTGTGGCAAGAGGTCAATTAAAGTTTGTTGCTGTAGCAGTAGAGTACTTCACAAAATGGGTAGAAGCCGAACCTCTCGCCACAATATCTGAGCCCAAGCTAAGAGCCTTCACTTGGAGGTCTATCATTTGCACGTTTGGGATACCAAAGGTCCTCATCACCGACAATGGCAGGCAATTTGACAATCAACAGTTTAGAAACTTTTGCTCAAACCTTGGGATTGATCACCGTCTGACATTAGTTTCGCATCCTCAGAGCAACGGTCTGGCCGAGGTAACAAATCGAATCATATTGCAAGACCTCCGAACAAGAATAAGCGATGCTAGGGGTTCTTGGTCCGACGAGCTGCCTTCTATACTTTGGACGTACAGAACAACTCATAGGACAACCACAGGAGAAACCACTTTTATGTTAGCCTATGGCGTTGAAGCAATGGTCCCAGTG